TCCTCCCTCACACGTGCAGAAGCCCTGGTCCTGACGCACCACCTTCCAGGAAGGGTGCCCGGCGCAGGCTCTGCTCCCCCCCCCCCGTTCCCTCATGTGGGACACGGGCACAGATGCGCAGACCAGACGTGCTCTGGGTGTGAGCAGCATCCTGACTTTCACTCTTAGTTTTATAATGAGCTCCTGGTGGCTGCCTGGGTCATCCACTGGCCTCCCTTCCCTTGCTTTTTTTTTTTTGTTTTTTTTGAGACAGAGTCTCACTCTGTTGCCGGGCTAGAGTGCCGTGGCGTCAGCCTAGCTCACAGCAACCTCAAACTCCTGGACTCAAGCAATCCTCCTGTCTCAGCCTCCCGGGTAGCTGGGACTACAGGCATGCGCCACTATGCCCGGCTGATTTTTTCTATATATTTTTAGTTGTTCAGCTAATTTCTATTTTTAGTACAGACAGGGCCTCGCTCTTGCTCAGGCTGGTTTCCAACTCCTGACCTTGAGTGAGCCTCCCACCTCGGCCTCCCAGGGTGCCGGGATTATAGGCGTGAGCCACCACGGCCAGCCTTCCCTTGCTGGTGTCTGGATTTGGAGACAGGCCCAGCAGGATCACAGAGGCTTCTCCGGTGACCACGGGCAGAGGATTGAAGAGTGCCCGTGCCGGGCCAACCTGGGCAGGGCCTCGGCCCTGTACGGCCCTCTCACATGCTGCCTGGCTGCAGAAAACTGGGGTCACCTTTGCACTCCTCCCACCCAGCAGTGACCCGCAGATTTGGGCGAAGGCCTTCAAAGTGGCTGACCAAAGACCAGGGCGTCACGGCTAAGTTGCTGAGGCCAGGAGTTTGAGCCCTGGGTCTAAGATAAATGAAGTGATAGGCTGGCGCGGCGGCTCACGCCTGCAACCCTCCTCCACGCTGCAGGAGGACGAACAGCAGAGGACGAGAAGTGGGGAGGGAGGACGGCTGGTGTTTTCCCCTCGCCGACACCCCCGCCTGCACCAGCCCCACCGAGGCCTGGGCCGCCAGTGCCACGAGGACGCCGCCTGGACTATGGCCACCCCGGGACGGGCCTCCTCTCAGGGCCACCCCGGGACGGGCCTCCTCTCACGGCCGCCTGGGCGGCGCGCCCTGCTCTGCCCAGCCAGGACGTGGCTGGGATCTTTCTAGACTCTCCTAGAGTGCGGCCACGCCACAGGCAGACTCCGCGGCGGCCGGCACCCGCGCCCCCAGCAGCTGGGGCAGACCCAACGGCCCCGGCGCCCTCCCGGGACGACCTGCTCTCACCGTTCCGGGGTGGCTGCTGCCGGCCGAGGGGCTGGTGGAGCCAAGGTCGCGGCCGCCCCAGTCGCTCGCGGCTCCGAGGGCCTCTGCCGAGAAAGGGGAACGGCGTTGGAGGGGCCGCCCGCACCGCAGCCCCACGCTGAGCACCGCAGCCCCACGCTGGGCACCGCAGCCCCACGCTGGGCACCGCAGCCCCACGCTGGGCACCGCGAGCTCCGGGTGCGAAACATCGGTCCTACAGTGTGGGGGGGGCAGCTGGAACAGCAACGCGGACTGCCCGGCGCAGCGGGACGTTTACGTTCACGTTTCTAGCGGTTTTGTCACCGACAGCCGCGTCTACAGCGTGGGCGAGAGGGGCTGCACTTCCAAACACAAAACGGAAAGGAGCCATGAGCTGGCGACTGGCCCCGGAACCCGGGCCTGAGCTCCACGGCCGGGAAGAGAAACCGCGAGAGGTCGAGGAAAGGTCGAGCCCTTGCCCGGGCCCCAGGGTTTCTTTCTGCCATGGGGGAGACTTGTCACGGGCCACGAGGTCCCCAGAGCTCAGCCCTCATCGTAGGGACATAAACACGAGGCTCGGGAACCCCCACGGCCCAAGGCCACCGGCCAGCCCTGCCTTCAGGGTGCTGGTGTCGGCCAGCTGAGCAGGCGCAAGGCGTGAGGCCGGCTCAGGTGAGCAGGCGTGAGGCCTGGTGCACCCACGGCAGGGTCCCTCCAGGTTCCCGTCCTTGGCGCCTGCTCTGGGCAGAAACCCCAGTAGCGGTCTGCAGAGTCGCTGAACCAGGTGTGGGGCGTGGGGGCGCGGGGTGTGGGGGCGCGCGGCAGTTGGGAGGGCGCCGTGTCGGGACTCGGCTACTCACTTTCAACGTGCGCGAAGGCGCAGAAGGGGCCGCGCGGGCAGTACCCGGTCTGCCGCATGTCGTTGCACTTTGTAGACTTGTAGATCTAGGAGACGAGAAGGGAGAGAGACAGACTGACGGACGTGGGCTTCGGGGAAGGCCAGAGCCGGCTCCGCCACCACGTGGAGAACTGAGCTCCAAGTCGTGGCAAGAGTCGCCCGGGAAGAGGGGTGTGGATGCCGCTCCCCCCCGCCCCCGACATTGCACCCTTGGCCCCCAAATCCCCCTGCCCAGAGCACGCCGGCGATTCCGCCCGAGGGAAGGCCGGAGGGCGGCTGGTCCCTCCCGGCCCGCCGCGCTGCCCCAGCTGGCCGCCCTCCTCCGTCCCACTCATCCTCCTGCACACCTGGGCCAGGGCATCCTGGGGACCCAACCCGCCCACATGCACCGCTGGGCGCGGGCGTCCTAGGGACCAGGGCCCACACACACCGCTGGGCCAGGGCGTCCTGGGGACCAGGGCCCACACACACTGCTGGGCCAGGGCGTCCTGGGGACCAGGGCCCACACGCACCGCTGGGCCAGGGCGTCCTGGGGGCCGGGGCCCACACGCACCGCTGGGCCAGGGCGTCCTGGGGGCCCACACGCACCGCTGGGCCAGGGCGTCCTGGGGGCCCACACGCTACCGCGTGGGCGCGGGGCCGTCCTGGGCGACCAGGGCCCACACGCGCGCGCCTGCGGGCCCAGGGCCGTCCTGGCCGACCTCGGCCGCCACACGCACCGCTGGGTCAGGGCGCGTCTCTGGGGACCCGGCCATGCCCAGGCAGGCGGACGCTACCTCTCGGGAGTGGAACGCTGCCTCCATGCGCGAGTGGCAGTACCTGGGCAGCGTGTCACCGCCGCATCACAGCGCGCGCGCCTCCTTCGCCTCCACTTCGTTCCCCGCGGCGCTTCACGCTGGGCGCAGGGCGGTGCACCTGGGAGGGGACGCATTCATAGCCTCTGCCCCTGAGAGTGGCAGACGAGCCCCTGCCCGTCCCACGCAAGGAAGCGGGTTGGGAGCCCCGAGTCCACGTCTCGCCAATGTTAACGCAAGCCCAGGTCAGGGACAGTGCCTCGGGTACAGTGCTGGGGGGGTGACAGCAGCGCGGGGGGGGACAGCGCCAGTGGGGACAGCTGGGGGGGCGGGGACAGCACCCTGCGGCCACGGGGGCTCTGCCTCCTCGCGTGCCGATGCAAAGTGGGACCTGGGACTTTCGATCCCACGATTGGAAAATCCCAACCAAATGTTCAAGGCTACCCACATCCTCCCACCCTTCACGTGCTTTCTGGGAGCTTTACTGTGACTTATATGGATTCACAGAAAAAGGAAGCCACCGTCAGGGAGAGAGGCCTTTGGGTTTTTAAAAATAATCTTCCATCCCTTTGCCCTGCAGCAAATCCATCACGCTTCAGCCCCCTTCCCGAGACCTCGGCTCCCTCCACTCCCAACTGCTGGGAAAGCCAGTGTGTGCCTCGAGCCGGCCACGCCTCCCCGACACGGAAGACAGGACGGGGGTGGGGGGCCAGGCACGGACAGCCCGGGGGTCCCGCGGCCCAGCCCCCCAGGTGCAGCCTGCAAACCCCAAGGGGGCTGGGCCGGGTGCAGATGGGGGGCAGCTGGGACAGGAGCGCACGGCCGCGTGCACGGGGTAGGCGCCCAGGCCCAGCCCAGCGAGGCCCAAACCCAGAGGTCGGTCAGAGCCCAGCGGAGGGGGAGCCGCCCTGCCACCCCGGGTGTGCGAGGGCCCAGGACAGGACCTGAGGGCCCGGGGGCTCTGAACCCAGAGTCGTTCCCAGCCCCCAGAAAGCCACAAGCAGGTGGGAACAGAGGCGGGGCCCAGGCCAGGCTGGGGTCCACCATGTGCACCCCCCGATGCCTGGCGGAGGGCTCCAGCTGGGGGTCTCGTGGGAGCCCTGTGCTTGGGTTGGAGGCCCGTCCCCGTCGCCGTCCCCAGGCCCCGTCCTACCCGCTGCAAGCCACCGCCCTTCAAGACAGCTCCTCCCCATGGACCACGGCGCCAAAGGGCAGCCCCCACCCCAGAACCGGTCTGGGGGGGGCGGTGAGGCCGGCACAGGGAACACTGCCCGGGACGGCTGCATTGGCCCCACGCCCACGCCGCAGGTGGGCTCACCTGTATTGGAACCTGCGGGGGTCGCGCCGCCGGTCCCTGCTGCTGTGGAAGTGAGGGCAGGCGTAGCCCTGGCGGCACAGGCGCGGCGGCTTCGGGCACTGCTCCGTCTTGTAGCTGCCCAGCACGAAGGTGGAGTCTGGAAAAGGGTCCACACACACGCCTGTGCACGCGGGCTCGCACGGCACACGGCAGCCCGACGGGGGGCACCGCCACGTGCCCGTGCACAGGCGTGGGAGAAGCGTAAGGCGTAAGGCGGGCCCCGGTGCCAGGGGAGGCACACGCTGCCGCCCGGGGGCCTTGAAGACGCCGGGCTCAGCGAGAGCCAGACGCCGACGCCATACACGTGTGATTCCGTTTGTGTGGAACACAGAACGGGCAGACCCACAGAGAGAGGGTGCGGGAGAGTTGCAGGGGCTGGGCCGGACGGGGGTTTGATGGGTACGGGGTTTCTTTTTCTGTTTTTGTAGAGAGAGGGTCTTGCTATGCTGCTCAGGCCGGTCTCCAACTCCTGGCCTCAAGCGATCCTCCTGCCTCAGCCTCCCAAAGCAATGGGGCTACAGGCAGGAGCCACCGAGCCCAGCCAACTTCTGTTTTCTTTGGAGTGATACAAATGTTTTGTTTTGTTTTTGAGACAGAGTCTCACTCTGTTGCCCGGGCTAGAGTGCTATGGCATCAGCCTGGCTCACAGCAACCTCAAACTCCTGGGCTCAAGTGATCCTCCTGCCTCAGCCTCCCTGGGAGCTGCAACTACAAGCATGCACCACCATGCCCGGCTAATTTTTTCTATTTTTAGTAGAGGCGAGGTCTTGCTCTTGCGCAGGCTGGTCTCAAACTCCTGGCCTCCAGCAATCCTCCCGCCTCGGCCTCCCAAAGCGCTGGGACTACAGGTGTGAGCCATCGTGCCTGGCCAACTTCTGTTTTCTTTGGAGCGATACAAACGTTTTCTAACTAGACAGACGTGATGGCTGCACAACTTTGTGAACATACTAAAACACCACTGAAATGTACACTTTAAAATGGCTAATTTTTTGGCCCTAACGCGAACGGCGGACTGGGAGGTAACCCCGTCAGCGTTTCTCATCAGCCGTGAAGGGCCTGCTGAGGGTGCGGGTGTGGGCAGAGGAGGCTGGGGGGGGGGCAGAGAGCCCTGGGGAAATCTCTGCATTTTCCACTCCGTTTTGCTGTGAACCTAAAACTGCTACAAAAAATAAATATTTTTTTAAAATGCTTAACTTTATGTCACAGGAATTTTATCTGGAAAACCTCAAAAAACAGAGGTAATTCAAAAGCAATAATCAATGGATTCCTAAAAGTTAAGAGCCTTTCTTGGGACGGTTAGCGACCTGCACCGTAGTGACATTCGCTGCTGCTCTTAATCACAGGGCGAGAGGAAACTCAACGCTGTGATACCGCCATCCACACCAGTCCACCTGCGAACGGCTGACTGAACGGCAGAAGACGCACACAGCGCTGCGTGGACAGAGCGGGGCAGGCGTGGGGACAAAAACGCTGCTTTTCAGGAAAGAGGCTGGCTGGCCGGCGTGGTGGTGCCCGTCGTCCCAGCGACTCGGGAGGACGGCTCGAGTCCCGCAGTTGGAGGCTGCAGTGAGCTGTGACGAGGCCACCGCACTCCAGCCCGGGGGACAGAGCGGGACCCTGACTCAAAAGGGAAAACACAGGAACAAGGAGTGGGGAGACGCTTGTTGGCGAGTGTCGGCCAAGCGCCTCCCTCAGGCGGGACGCCGCACACCGAGCGACATAAACCCACAGGGACGGCCCGTGCTCGGATGGCTTCAGAGAAAACCAACCTGCAAGAAGCACGCCGAGGCTAAACACACAGAAAGACACCGCGAGCGTGTCCTTACGATCACTAAAGGAGGGAACACGCCGCTTAAACGTGCGTGGACGTGCAGACGGCTGGTGAAGCAGCACGCACGCTGCGCTCAAGGCCTCTAAGAGCAGGCTGTGAGGAGGCGCCCCCAGCAGGTGGCGGCTAAGCAGGCCGTGCTGCGTCCCGACAGCGGAACACCGCGCAGAACCAAGCGGGAACGGGCCATCGCGCCCCGAGAACACACGGGGGAACCTCACACGCGTGCTGCCAGGGAGCAAAGGCCACACCGGATGGCCCCCACGACACTCAGGCAGGGGCAGAGCCACGGGGACAGGAAGACCAGTGGCCGCCCGGCGCTGCAGGGAGGGGACGCACAGGGCATCGCGGCCGCCCCGCACGAGACATAGGAGGACACGCGTCGCTGCCTGTGTCCACACCCAGGTCACACGCAGTGTCGGCAACCACGGACGTCAGCTGACAGAGCAGTGGCAGCGGCTCAGCTGTGACAAGGGTGTTTGTGGCGGGCGGGGGGACGGAGCCTCCGTGCTCTGCGCCTCTGTCCTGCGCATCCCGCCCGCCCCGGAGGTCCGACTGAACGCAGCGCGGGTCCGGGGCACTGGCCCACGCGAGCCGGACTCCGTGCCTGGGACTCGCTAGGCACACTGAAACACGGAAGCCAGAAACCTACCAGGGATTTTCTCGGCAGCACTGGAGGGTGCAGAACCTTAGAAAGAGGGGTCCCACTGACCGCCCAGCACCGCCCTTGTCTGTCACGTCCACTTCCTCCTGCGCCCCCAGTGTCTTGAGCCTGGACTGCCAGCGGAGAAAAGCGGGCCTCACCTCGCACTGGACCGTGCGTCTGCAGGGGGGGGCTGGTCAGACTGGCGAGTGAAGGCGTAAGGTGGGGCGGATATATCGGGAGAACGCATGGGGAGACCGGGAGCGACCAGAGCAGGCCTGGCCAGGGCAATGTGCTCCAAGGTGACTGTGCACAGCGTGTCTTGGGGGGGAAGCAGGCCGGGTGTCTCTTTCAGGCCTTGGCCCTGCCAGGCAAGCCATTTCGCTGCCAGCTTGGCCTCTGTACGGAGTCGGGAAGCCCATTGAGAGCTCTTCCTTGATCGCACCGGCTTCGGAGATGGGGATGAAGAGTTGGGTAGGTTTGTACCAAGATCTTTACAGGACGGCGGTGTCGCCATCAGAACCATCAGAGTGATAGGATTGTATCCCATGGCTCAGTGCCTTGCTTTTATTCTTCGGTGCACTGGGCCGCTGAGCCCTGGCGCCGGCAGGAGGCTCAGCGTGGGTGTGGGGGGCCGTGGAAGAGACAGCCATGCCCTGTGACGCGAGAGCTTGACAGTGCAATAACAAAGTGTGATTTTTTAATTTAGTCTTCTTTTGCACACATAGGTATTCTTGGGGTACAAGATCTGCTCTGATATCTAAATGCTATCTACTCGCTCTTTGGCCCGCAGCCCACACTCCAGAAATTTCAAGTGTCGACCAACTGTCCCTCCAGCGCGCGCAGTGTGCATTGCACCCATGCGAGGTGGTCTGGAGTAGGAACCATCGCGTCAGAGACGTTTGCTCATACCTCTCGCGGTCCGTCTCACAGCAGACCCGATGCAAGGTCTCAAGCGCCACATAACGTGTGAGTTGAAAGTGGTTCGACGCAGTTGGAAATAGGAGGGTGGCGTGCGTCGTGGCTTTTTCCATTGCTTGTGATACTTCACTTAGCAATGGGTGGGCGCCGTTGCCACTCCACCGGGCGCTGCAGCGGCCGATTAGGGATGAAGGCGAGTGGTCTGGAGCGCCTACTGGAGGGCTCGTGGCACAAGATCATCATTGTCACACTTTTTGTGCTCCGGCGCAATCCAATGGTATGTGCCAGCCATCCCTTAGCCCGGGCGGCTGGCACATAGCATCCACTTAGCATCCAAACATTATCATATAAGCCTCGCGCATGATTCCACAGCTTAGGTTCGTGCACACCGGTCTTCTTCTTGTCTTGCGCTGGCCAGGAATTGTGAATTGATAGCTCGCGCTATAAACCAGTGTTTCTACAGCTGCAGATGCCTTTTTTGTACACAGAAGTCTCTTGTTTGCATTTGAGTAGATGCCCAGTAAAGCAGGATCGCTCGGATCAACGGTACGGGATCTATAGGTCTTGCTAAGCGTCGCGATATCGAGGACACTGTGATATTCACTTTGCCCAGAGGCTCTGTACTCAGTTTGCAGTCCCACCAGGCAGTGTATGAAGTGGCTCTATGGGGCATTCTCCACTGAGATAGATCCGCTCGTCTGAAAGCACCGAGAGGCACGGGCGCCAGAGACCGCCGGCGCCATGGGGCACAGGGAGTTAAGATAGATCCGAGCTTGGCGGTTGTAGAAACCGAACAAGGTAAAGCAGTGGTTATGCTGTTTTATCTTCCTGTGGATTCACCCATTGCTTGGCAGCACAGGGATGGGGAATTGATGACTTAGCAGGCCAGAGGCATCGGTGATGACAATGGAAATCAAGGCAAGACTGTCCACGCACAAAGTTTGAATTCAAGGAGATTTTATTTGAATTCTAGTTCCCATTGCTGCTGAATATGTTACTCAACCCCTCTAAAAACTACTTTTCCTCTGTAAAACAGAAGTAGTACCACAAAATTCATCTATTTGTTAAGTGAACATCAGCAGCACCTTATAGCTTCAGGCATCCAAGCAAATGGTTAGCAATTGCTCAATTTGTCTTCCTCTACAGTTTTTTTAAAAGTGTGAAAACAGATAGCGCTAACATACGAAGCAGGACCACTGACTGAGAGCTGTTATGGCCGCCCATTAATGACATTACAGAACGTATAACTGCAGTGAATTTACAGAAGCGGAATCAGGAGACTTGTGGTAGCTAAGTGATGAGATCACTGAACTGGGCCGCTCCAGAGTTACTGGCCAGAATAGGCCATCATTTATTTAACATTAATGCTTAAGCGCTTCTAAGCCCGCACGTGAAGTTAGGCAAGAAAAGGGAGGGGAGGGGAGGCATCCATAGAGAAGAAAAGTAAATCTGTCCTTCATTTCGCAGATGACATGATTGTCTATGTGAGCATTGATGAAATATAAAATAGGGCATTAAAATGAATGAGTTAGTAAGATTTCAGGCAGCAAGATCAATACACAAAAACCTTGGCATTGCTATGTGCAAGGCACTGAACAATCAAAATTTGATGTAAAAAAACTTAACAATATCATCAAATTAAAATAGGCGCTAAATCTGATAAACAGAGTTGCAGGATTATTATACCGAAAACTTCATTACTGAG